ATAATTATTGTTGTTATTGTAAGTTTTCTGTATTCCGGAGATTAGCCTGAAGTGTAAATTTAAGGTCATATAATAGCTCTTTTCTGAACTTTTCCTGGGCATTTGCAGTCCTAATTTTCCTCATATATGTAATTGTTTTGAATGTCCTAGTCTTTAATGTCTGTCTCCTGAAAGGAGAAAAGTGAAAAATGAAATGAGGATCGGGAGGGGTAAGGGGACTGGCCTTTAAATTCCCTGGATATCACTTGTGGGGGAGGGACTTGCAACAATGGGGAGAGGTGCAACAACAGTGGCTGCTGGCCTTCACACTTCTGTGATCAGAAGCAGCAGGCAGTGATCAGAGCACAGATCCTTGATATTTGGAAGACAGGATCTTTTTTCTGATACTTGGAGGACAGTGCCTTTGCCTAACTTGGGCTGTGCATAAGCTCCAGGAACATGTGCATAGCTGCCCATCACATGGCTAGGATATGTAGCTGCTATTTTGCTAAGAGCTGAATTTATCCAACATTTATCATTCAAGTCTTCCCCCTGGAAGTTGCAAGCCTTAATAGACTCTAGAGTTAGAAAATTATCACATCAAACAGATCATGCCAGTGAAATTGTTGTCTAGGTAGGGAGAAAGATTCCTGGTGCTTCCTACTCCACCATCTTCCAAGATCCTTTCCTTTATGGAGTTTTGAGCGTTTTTTAAAAAAATATATTCTAGATACAAGTCTTTTATTAAATAAGATTTGCAAATAGTTTCTCTCAGTCTATGGTTTGTCCTTTCATCCTCTTTAACAGTGTCTTTCAAAGACCAAATGATTTAAATTTTGAAGAAGCCCAGTTTATCTGTTCTTTTATAGATTGAGGTTTTGGTGTCTTATCTCAGAAATCTTTGCCTAACCCAAGGTCACAAGGATTTTTACTCATGTTTTCTTCCGGGAGTTTTATAGCTCTAGGTTTTATTTTCAGGTATATGATCCATTTTGAGTTAGTTTTTATATATGGTTTATGGTGTACATATATGTGTGTATATTGCATATGGATATCTGATTGTTTTGCTCCTTATTCAATGAATTGTCTTTGCACCTTTGTCCATATATAAGTAGAACTATTTCTAAACTCTTTTCTGTCCCAGTGATCTGTTTATCTTGATGCTGTTACATTACCACAGTCTTAATTACAGTAGCTTTTTAAAAAAAGATATATTTATTTTAAAGAAAGAGAGAGAGCATGTGAATGCGGGGTGGCGGGGGGGGCAGGGAGAGGGAGAGGGAGAGAAGCAGACTCCCCGCTGAGCACAGAGCCTGACTTGGGGTTCGATTTCACAAACCTGAGATCATGACCTGAGCTGAAATTAAGAGTCAGGCGCTTAACTAACTGAGCCACCAGGTACCCTTACAGTAGCTTCATATTAAGTTGAAATTATGTAGTGTTAGCTATGCAGGTTTGTTCTTATTGAAAGTTGTTCTGTCTAAGTAGACAGGTCATTTGCATTTCCATATGAATTTTAGAATCAGCTTGTTAATTTCTAAAAAAAAAAAAGCCTGTGTGATTTTGATTGGAATTGTGTTGAATCTGTTGATAAATGATTTTGGTGAGAGTTGATATCTGATATCTTAATATTAAATCTTCTGTCCCATGAACAAAGTATATCTCTCCATTCATTTTATTTAGGTCTTTAATTTCTTTCAATAATGTGTTATAGTTTTCACTTATAGATCTCAGACATCTTTTGCAGGTTTCCCCCATTTATTACACATTTTTGGATGCTCTTTTCAAATGGTATTTTTAAAATTTCAATTTCTCATTGCTTTTGTCTTAGTCATGTTTTTTACTTTCTATATTTTTGATACATTGATGTCTTCAGGCCTTGCAGACCTGGAGAAGGGACTGCCCCCTCTCAGGGTTAGCTATTTACTAGAAATAGTGGGGAAACTTGCCTGCAAGCACACCTTTGATATGCACATCAACCAATCTTAAGTCCATACCCTTATCTGCTTCCTCTCCTCAGGCTTCTGCAGTCAGGACTACTCTTCTCCTCTCCTAAATTATTCCAGGGCCAGGTATAGACAAGTAGGAATCACCTGTATAACCCAGAGCCTGACAAAATTATTCAAACAATCTAATCCTAAACTTGCTCAGCTCACCTACCCTGTCTTTCCCATTCCTTTCTGTGAAACCTCACAGTAAAAATTCTGGCCCATGCTTTCCTCTTGCACTATCTGCCTCCTGACTGACCTGATCCTTCCCCATGTGGCCCTGCATGACATAGTGTGCACCCCCCCCTTTTGAGAACTGTGAGTCACAAACTGTCTTTTCAATGACAGTCATCTCCTGATCTATCAGCCTTACCATCCTGAATAAAAACGAAGTCCTGAGTATTTTAAACAATTGTTGCAATAGTATATAGACTACTATTGATTTTTGTGTATTGAATTTATATCCAGCAGTCTTACTAACCTCACTTTTTAATTGTAATAGTTTTTTTGTATTTTTCATTAGCTTTTCTAAATAGGCAATCATGTCATCTGCCACTAAAGACAGTTTTATTTCTTCTTTTCCAATCTGGATGCCATTTATCTTTTGACTCATTGCACTGGCTATTAACTGTCAGTACAGTGGTGAATAGAAGGGGTGAAAGCGGACATCTCTGTTATTCCTAATATTAGTGAAAAAGTATTTAGTCTTTCACCATTAAGTCTGTGATTAGTGGTAGGTTTGTTTTGTTGGTTTTGGTTTTGCTTTCTTTTGGTAAATGCTGTTATCAGGTTGAAGATGTTTCCTTCTGTTCCTGGTTTGTTGAGAGTGGGGTTTTCTTTGTTTTTGTTTTTTAAGATCAGGAATAGATGTTGAATTTTGCCAAATGTTTTTTCTGTATCTATTGCGATGATCATATATATGGTTTTACTTTTTCAGTTTGGCAATATGATGAATTGCTTTGATTTTCAAATGATAAACCCTAACTGTTCATGATATATTATCCTTTTTATAAATTGTTGGATTTAATTTGCTAATATTTTGTTTAGAAATTTTGCACCTGGGTTCATGAGGGATATTGGTCTATAGTTTTCTTATCATGTCTTCGGTTTTTGCATTAGGGTGATGCTGGCCCCATGGAATGAGTTGATAAATGCCTCTTCAACTTTCTGGGTTTGTCTTGAATTGATAGTATATTTTCCTTAAATGCTTAATGGAATTCATCAGTGAAGCCACCTAGGCCTGGAGGGTTTTTTGGTGGGGAAGATTTTCATGAAAATTTCGGTTTATTTAATAGCTGTAGAACTAATATTGTTCTTCTTGAGTTTGTGTCTTCTGAGGAATTGGTCTGTATCATTTACCCTGTTGAATTTATTGGCATAAAGTTATTCGTAGTATTTCCTTATCTTTTTTTTTTAAAGATTTTATTTATTTATTTATTTGACAGAGAGACACAATGAGAGAGGGAACACAAGCAGGCGGAGTGGGAGAGGGAGGAGCAGGCTTCCCACCGAGCAGGGAGCCTGATGCAGGGCTGGATCCCAGGACCCTGGATTCATGACCTGAGCTGAAGTCAGACACTTAAAACGACTGAGCCACCCAGGCGCCCCTTCTTATTTTTTTAATGCCATGTGATTCTCATTTCCCTCATTTCTGATATTGGTAAATTGAGACTGACTTTCTTTTTTCCTGATCACTTTGGCTAGTGCTTTATTGCTTTTATTATTTTCAAGCAATCATCATTGCTTTTATTATTCCTTATTATTTCCTTTTTTCTATTTCATTCATTTTGGTTCTGATCTTTATTTAATTTCTTCTGCTTTGAATTTGACTTGCTCTTCTTTTTTCAGCATAGAAGTCACTAATATGAAACTTCCTTTTTTAATATAGATGCTCTCCTCAGACTATAAGCCCCACCCAAGTTCCCTCTCCTGAAGCCTGTAAACTCTCAAAACCATAAAGTGGGGTAATTGTAAGATTCACCTGTTTCCCATCTCCCAGATATCTCTGTTCTTTGTTGCTTGATGTCCGGTGTCTTGAAAACAGTTCTTTCTTATATTTTGTCCAGTTATTTTGGTTGTTTCAGGTGGGAGGGTAAATATGGTCCCTGTTATTCTACCTTTGCCAGAAGTAGAAGTGCCAAGAGTGAGTTTTCCAAATAAATTTTATAAGAGACATTCCAGTGTGTTGATAGGTTGTGGATGTCTGGTAGAATTATCTTTTGTAGGATTTGGCCCGTGCTGATAATGTTTGCCTGTCCACATTAACAGTGCAATGATGTGAGGCATAGGGATGCTTAACAATTGAGATGGAGCTCAGGAAGAGTAGCTGTAGGAGTTGTCTTTCTAAACTGGGCAAAGTGTAAGTAAAATGAATAGCATTTGGTCAGTCTAAGAATTCCTAGTTTGGGGAATACTCAGAAGTATTAATGGAAAAGAAAGGAGCCAACCAGTGGCAAAGCAAAAGAAAACTCAGAGCTGTCAGCAAGTATAGACAAAACAGTAATAAAAGGAAGACAAAGTTCCAATTAGGGTAAAATTACATTTGTACAAAATTTACCGATACAAAACTTTGTTATGAGTAGTTATGGCATTGATTTAGAATCGATATTGTAAGTTAATAGTTTTTAAAGACTGAAAAAGAGATATTTATATTTAAAATCAACCACTACAAGCTTAGAAGTAAGTAAAATCTGAAATGAAGTATTTTCCTATGCTATATAAACACTGAACACATTAATTACAGATTTTTTTTCTCTATTCTTTGAAGTAGGGCCCCAGATAATCTTCATTAAAAGAGTTGGCCTAGTACGAATTACTTTATGAATTTGAAAAATTTTAAGTATATGTATTTAATATAATTTATGGCTCACATTTTAATAACACAGTCTTGAGTCTTCCTTAATTAGACTAATTCGGGAGAAGAAAGTTGAATATAGATGGTAATTACAATTACATTCTCTTTTCATGGAAATAATCGTATGTTTAAAGATAGAAATATATGTGTTCCTAAGCATAATTTATAATTTTTTACAGGTTTGTGGGACCACTGGGTACCATCATCATAAAATGTAAAGATTTTCGAATAATTCAGTTGGATATTCCTGGAATGGAAGAATGTTTGAATATAGCCAGTTCCATTGAGGTAAATATTTCAGAAGCAAAATCTGATGAAAATAAATAGTAATAAGGAAGAACCTTATATTCTGACTCAGTATAGCTCATATGTTTTTTTAGTAGATAGTTGGTCATGTTCTGTGACTCACATATTGAAAATTGACAGGAAAAGCCTCACCCTGGTTCATTGTTATAGGAATGTAATAGGATTTTGTTGACTTATAACAGTTTTTAGTGTTACTTATTCCTCCAGCCTCACTTGTTGTAGCATTTGACAGGATTTCCTTCTCTTTTAAGACTCAATAATAGTCCATTGTATGTATATATGGTAAGGCTTTTCTAAAAAGTTATTTCTTTTATAAAAGTCAGTGATTATCACCAATGATTATGGTCTTTTGTTTGCCTTTAGTAAGTCTGAATTTTCCATACATCAGGTTTGATTAAGACAGGGTGTGTTTGTTTTATATCTGTATCAACAGTATTGAGTATCTGTTCAGATTCCAAATAATAGACATTTTACTTGGATAATTTAATATTTAAATGGAGGTGCTCACACCATTTTCTTCCCCATTCAAACCAACTATTTTGGTTTACACTCAAATTTTAAATTGCGTTGTTTTAAATCATTGCCACTAAATTAGAGCAATTAACTTTATAGTATTTTCTAGATAATTACAAATACATTGATTTTTTTTTTTCCTTTGGTCTTGGAGTGACTAATCTGGTGTTTGTATCCAAAACAAATGCTATTGGCTTAACTATTAAAAGGAGGCAGAAAGGTTTAAAAATCTTAATTAGGATCTTGTTTGGTTTTTAAACAAGAATAGAGAAATAAAACAACTGTTGTGCTGAGAAAAATGGCATGGAAGTGGTTTACTTTCTGCCTTTGCTAAATTTTACTTAGAGGAAATGAGAAGATTAGCTGAACTATTTGTTTTATGTATCTTGTCATTTGGAAGTGATGTAGTAATGTTGATTTGGCCAAATTTGTTAACATGGGTAAGAAACGCACTGTGGTTTCTTGGCTGTTAAATTGAAACACTGTCCTGCTGTTTGGGCAGGGGAAGGCTACTGACCCATTTCATTTGAGCATGTTTTTGTTTTTGTTTTTTTCACTTGTGGGTTTGGATTTTCACTGACCAGTCTACATGTTTCTTCTTATTCCTTTTATAATTTACGAGATAGCTGGTTGGTGGGTGTTAGTGAAGTTGCATACGGTAAAGGATAACGGTAAAGGAAATAGAGGGCAAAGCCTGTTACCCACTTTCTGGTTGCATTTACTTAGTTTCATTAACATCTGACACTAATCAGTTGTTTAATTGGCTGTATATAGTACCTAAAGTACTTTAGAAACTGAATATATAGAAACCCTTGACCTCAGGAAGTGAACGTTCTATTGATTGTTTTACAACATAGTCAGTATACATCGTGAACTTGGTCTCTTGCCTTTTCCTGGTATCCAATTCCTTCCCCACCTCCCCTATACATCTTGACATGACTTGGGAGTAATAGTGAATTTCTTATATAAAAGAGCTATTCTTTCTAATCAAGAATCCATGTACCCTAATATAGTCTGCTGCCACAAATAGAATCCCATTGGAAGAATAACTGGCAATTGCTCAGTTTTCTAAAATGTAGCAGGAAGTCTGATGAAGCTTCTATGTAGTTTCCACTGTCTTTTGGAATTGAAATGTTTTCAGTTCTTTCAGCATTAATGTGTTTAAAGGAAAAGTCCTGTCTCTGATGACATAGTGTGGGATCACAAGTCAGAATATGAATGCTTAGTGCCTGCTAAAGTGCCTGCTGACTTGCATTTAAAATTGTGGTTGTGGGCGCCTGGGTGGCTCAGTCGCTAAGCATCTGCCTTCGGCCTCAGGTCATGATCCCAGGGTCCTGGGATGGAGTCCCGCATTGGGCTCCCTGCTCCGCGGGAAGCCTGCTTCTCCCTCTCCCACTCCCTCTGCTTGTGTTCCCTCTCTCGCTCTGTCTCTCTCTGTCAAATAAATAACTAAAATCTTTAAAAAATAAAAATAAAATCATGGTTGTACCAGCCACTGTGGAAAACAGTATGGAGGTTCCTCAAGAAATTAAAAATGGAACTACCATGTGACCCAGCAGTCCCACTTCTGGATATATGTCCAAAGAAAACAAAATAATCTCAAAGATCTGTCTTTACTTCCATGATCACTGCAGCATTATTCATAATAGCCAAAATATGGAAATAGCCTCAGTATCTGTCAACAGATGAATGGATAAAGAAAATGTGATGTTTATCTGTACATACAATGGAATATTATTCAGCCTTAAAAAAAATAGTAATCCTGATATTTGTGACAACAGGGGTGAAACTGGAGGGCATTATGCTAAGTGAAGTAAACCAGACAGAGAGACAGATATTGCATGTTACTACTTATATGTGGAATCCTAAAAACCAAAAACAAAACTTAGAGAAACCGAGAGTGGAAAAGTGGTTGGTAGGGTCTAAGGGAGATAGGGAAGAGGTTGGTAAAAGTTACAAACTTGCAGTTATAAGATGAATAAAGTCTTAGGATCTAATGTAAAACATGGTAACTATAGTTGATAACACTGTATTACTGTATAATAGAAATTTTCTAAGAGAGTAGAACTTAAATGTTTTTAACAAAAGGTAAATATGGGAGGTGATGGATGTGTTAAGTAACTCCATGGGGGAGTCCTTTCACAGTGTATCAAATTATCACTTTAAATATCTTAGTTTTGTCAGTTTTACCTCAGTAAAGATGAAAAAAAAATGTTTAAATATTGCAAAGAATATCTTAAAAATAAACCAATTTAAAAAAGTGAACCAGTTAAGTAAAATAATGTTTGTACTGAACGATGACAGCTCAGGCCTAGGTTGGTTGTGGACATTGGCCATTCTGCTTTTGTTTAGTGTGATTGGCAGCCAAAGACTAGATAGAAGTGGATAATGGATTATACAGCCATGTTTCTCCATATTTTCTGTTTCATGAGCTCTGGGGGGAAGGTGTCATGATTTATGGACAGACAGAAGAATAACTTTGGATGAAGATGTTTTTGTTAAACTGCTGAACTGCATGTCTAATCTGTTTTTTAATAAGTCTTGGGCCCATTCTTTTGTAAGCCTGGTCCTTCTGTGACCTAGAGGGAGGTAGCTTTATTCTGAGAGTTTTGGGGAACAAGCATGATGTTGGGCTCCTGCCCTCCTCCAGGTGAGTGTCTCCATAATTACTGGAATTTGAATTATGCTAATTGATTTTGGTACCTTTTCTCCTAGTCATAGAAGTGCTTTTTATAACTCCCCTGTCAGAAGGCTGTAACTGCTAGGTGATGGAGGATGTTGCATCGGTCTGTTCCTCCCATTTAGTCAGGTTTTCCTGGTGGTGTTATCCAGAATTCAAGTGTTCCAGATGATTTGGGGACCACAGAGTTATTGCCCCAGCTTGAGAATGGGTCATTGTAGCATAAAGGTAATATGATACATGGCCACCAAGCTGTAACCTTATTTATGGTTACTAATAGACACTGATTTTAAATAATGTACATATGTTGACATAGTCAATAACTGAATTTTGAGCCAAGGCCTTGCTTTCTAACCAAAACCTGTTTGTTTTCTGATTCCCAGAAATATTTGGACCTTTATATTAGGCTTTGTTAAGTGGTGTCAAAGGAGTTAATTTTTCTTCTAGAATAGGTGTGCACACTTTTTTTGTTCTTTTGTTCATTCAGCAAGTGTTAACTGAGTGTGTGCTATGTGCCAGGTACCTTGTTAGATGCTAAAAGCATGGAAATTAGCTTCAGTAAGCTATAATTGTATCTAGTGGTAAATACAATGTTAGAAAAATATATTGGGTGTGCGTCATTATTAGACCATATTTGTTTAATACCAATTTGGTAATTAGAAAGTGTTTCAAATTGCAGTATGTTCCTTTTTCTTTCTTTTGTTTCCTTCTTTATGCCCTAGGCATTGTCTACCCTGGACTCTATTACTCTGATGTACCCTTTCTTTTACCGGCCCATGTTTGAAGTGATAGAAGATGGTTGGCATTCTTTCCTTCCTGAGCAAGAGTTTGAACTCTACTCTTCAGCTGTGAGTAACGTTTGAGACAACTATGTGTAATGAGAAATAATCCAATACCTTACTTGTGAAATGATCCCTTCCTTTTGATGACTAATAAAGTGTTGTTGGCTTACCCATGCCTGAAAGAAATTTTGTTAGCGGTTAGTACTGCAGCTTCTGCCATTCAGAGATTTGCACAATTTGTTTTCAATGCTGCAGCTCAAGGGATTTTTCTTCTAGTGGATTTCAGATGTTACTTTTTTCTTCAGTGTATTCCAGATGTTACTTTTTTTTTTTAAAGATTTTATTTATTTATTTGAGAGAGAGAGAATGAGAGATAGAGAGCACGAGAGGGAAGAGGGTCAGAGGGAGAAGCAGACTCCCTGCTGAGCAGGGAGCCCGATGTGGGACTCGATCCCGGGACTCCAGGATCATGACCTGAGCCGAAGGCAGTCGCTTAACCAACTGAGCCACCCAGGCGCCCCCAGATGTTACTTTTTTTAATTTTGAAAATGACATTGGTAAAACATTAAGATCTTCATAAAGATAGTCCTCACATGTTTTGAGTTCATTGTTGATTGTTTTAAAAGCGTCTCCATAGAAACAACTTTATGTGTAGTAATTAGGATCTGAGCCATCCCAAAAAAGTCTGTTGAACCTGCTGTGTGCTTAAGATAGCATTAGAGAAACATAGACCATATTTGTTTCTGAGGGATAATTTTTGTGTTTTTATAATTTGGGTTATTAAGACCCAAGTCACTAGAACCAGATTTTCTTATTCTTCACAATGTTACTTCTTTATTCTTCCATCACACCTATGTAAATGGGCCCTGGTTGGGGGGGTTGTCAAGAAGTAGGGACCAGGGTCTGTGTAATTTAAAGAATAATGATGTCCATGTCAGCAAAGTGATAAAGGAACAGGAAGTTCACATTCTTATTGTATGGGGCATTTTTATATAGTTCGTGGATAACTACCTATATTTACACTTAAATTTAGTATTTTTATTGCATTAAAAACTGCATAGTAAACATTCTTAAATGCATGATACTTTATGCAGTTAAGTACTATTATCAGTACTGTTATAAGCTACCACCAATGGTTACCTTAGAGGAATTATTTCCTAGGTGGAAAATGGCAGTCACGTGGTGATCAGGAAGGGAGATGTCTGGGTGATTTGTTTGGGTACCCAAAACTGTCTGTATAAATGACCTGCCCATGATTTATCTTGGAGTTAGGTGCCATAAGTGAACCAGTCTAAGTCTGCATTGTACAGGTCAACATTCAAATCAGTCTCCTATTCTGTGCAGAAATCCCCTGTGCTAAAAACATCCATGATCATGATGTGGTCGTTTAGCCTCTGCTTGAAATCTTAGTGTGGGAGAATTTGCAAAAACACAACGGTGTGCCATTTGGGGACAGCTCTAATTCTGAGCTGACCTCTGTTTCCCTGTACATAGAGCCAATGTTTCTGATGTTACCTTGTGTTATTCAACTTATCTTATTCCTCTACCATGAAGTCTTCTTCAAATTAGGAACTCTTATGTCCCCATTAAGTTTTCATTTCTGCAGATTAAATATCAGTATTTACTTCAACTTTTTCTAATAACGGTGACCTCAGGGCCACACACTGTCCTGGTTGCTCTTCCCAGCAGGGCCTTTAGTTTGTCATTTATTCTCTTAAAATATGGTAACCATACCACTTGGCATAGATTGGAACTTATTACTGAGATTTTTAAGGCAGCTTAAAGGTGCATTAGCTTTTTTGAGAATTAAGTTACTAATGAAATAAACTAAAATTTATACATCTTCTCATATGTGTTACCAAGGGCTCTGCCCTGTGTTTTTGTTATTGTATTTACTTACTAATTTTTATTTAGATTCAATACTTTTCCTAGTAGGCATTTTCTTTTTGGTTTAGCTAATTATTTAAGCAGTTTGTATATTTGAAGTTCTAGTATTTTACTGCAAATTTTGTAATCCACAGATTTAATGAAAAATCTTTAATGCCTTGTTTGAGGTATTTAGGTACTATTACTAGATGATGGAAATTTAAGATGAGCAAAGCATGGTTCCTTCCTTCCACTTGTTCTCACAGTTCTAACTAAGTCTAACAGTTATTTAAGTAATCAAGTACAGTGAAATAAGTGCTGACGAAAGTACGCACAAGGCACAGGGAAAATGACATTATTAGATTTGTGTTATAGAAAATCAATTCTGGTGCAAAATGCTAAGAAACTGCTTGAAGAAACTACTGGAATAATATAAAGAAGATGGTTGGATATAGTGCAGAAAGATTCAGAAAGTAGAATTGGCATTGGTGACCCACTCACTGGATGTGAAGGGTAAAACAGGCAGTGGTATCTAGGATGATACCATTGAGATGTGAAAAATAGAAAGAGAAAGATGTTTAAAGGGAATGAGTTAAGTTCAGTTTGGGGGATGGCAATTCAAAGGGCCTGTATGGTACATGTCATTGAATATCTACAAGAGATAGTCTAGAGCTTATTTGAGAGGTCTGTGCTAAAAATGAAAAAAACTGAGGGTATATACTGTGGAAACCATGAGGAGAGACCGAGATTGCCTAAGGAAAGCATCTGAAGTAAAAAGGATGCCAAGGATTGAACCGTTTAAGAGGTGAATGGAGGAAAAATCCAAGGGAAGAGTGAGTTTCAAGTAGGAGGGAGTCAACAGTGTGCAAAACTTCTTATTCGTTGTTTGTTGTCTCTTTCCTGGGCTAGAATGTAAGCTGCTAGATACAAACTTTACAAGGGCGGGAACCATGTCATTCTTGTTTCCTGCTGTATTTCTAACACATGATAGGCAAACGGTAAGTATTTGTTGAGTGAATGAATGTAGGCGTGTATTTACTCAGGACAGGGCAAAAGGGTGGTAAGACCTTCTATATATGATTAGAAATCCTCTGCCAGGTTACACCTCTGTCACTTAATCAGTATTCTTTGAGTAAGGTGTGTTTTTTTTTTTTACCATCTGAAAAACTTTTTAATTATAATATTAGCCAGTCCCCACTTCATTATTATGTCCAAAAGAGATGTGTGGTATTGAAAGGACAGTACTAAAACTAGCTATCAAGATATCTTGTGTTGCATCCCTGATACGTTATTGACTGCTTGACTTTTTGGGACTCAAGTTTCCATGTCTACAAAATGAAAGTGTTGAACAAAACTGATCTTTAGAGTTTCTCCTACTTTAAGCATGCTTTTATTCTAGGATATCATGAAAGATTATTTCAGGTACTTTGTTGAAATAGTTATATATATACATAGGTATATATATACCTATATATATATCTGCACTCCCTCAATCTACCACTTTTGAAATTATATATAAAAAAGGTGATAAGGTTCTGCTTATGATTGAGTAGCTCCTATCTGAGAAGACCTCCTGCAGAGATTAGTGACAAACTATAAATAAAACACAAAAAAACTACCACTTGAAAGCCTTGGTAATTGAACAGAAAACAGCATATTTTGGAGGGGGTCAAAATGTAGAGAAAGTTAATGGCAGAATGAAATTCCTATTTGGGGGGCTTTGTCCTGAGGTCATCATAGCTGTGGCATTGATAATGTGGAAATGCTAACATTCCAACTGAAAGCTCACTTTCTGTCTGGTGGGAGGAACCAGGTGAAAGTTTTGGGGCAACCAGAGAGCTAGAGAAGGGGAACCTTGATTTTGTGGTATACAACCTTGAACCTCTAGCTGATCGTGAGTGGTGCTTGCATGAAGCCGACTGAGATCAGTCAGAATCAAGAGGTGAGCTGCGTTGCACCACATGTGTTGAGTTTGCAATCTAAATCTAACAAAGTTAATTGTCTACTAAAACAAAAAACATTAACTCTCTTCAAAGGAGTATAATGGAATGTAGAGCTTCCACAGCATAACATTTGCAATGTCCAGGATACAGTCTGAAATTGAGCTAAGATATTGTGACCCATTCTGAAGGAAAAAGTTGGCAAGTACTGACCCCAGGGTGACTCAGATGTTTAAATTATCACACAAGGATTTTTTTTTTAATATTTTATTTATTTGAGATAGAGAGCATGTGCAAGGGAGTGTGGGGTGGGGCTGGGCAGGGGGAGCAGAGGGAGAGGGAGAAACAGAAGCAGACTCCCCGCTGAGCAGGGAGCCTGACATCAGGGCTCAATCCCAGGACCCTAGGATCATGACCTGAGCCAAAGGGAGACACCCAACCGACTGAGCCACCCAGGCACCCATCACACAAGGACTTTAACCAAAGAAAAGATAGGAAATACCAACAGAGAAATAGAAAATCAGAAAGAACCAAATAGAACTCTTAGAACTTTTTGAAAATTATATCTGAAATTAAAAATTCACTGCATGAGTTAAAAAGCAGAAGAGGTGACAGAAAACAGAACCAGTAAACTTGACATTAGAGCAATAGAAATTATTTTGTAGAAAGAAGGGGGAGGGGATAAGTTATAGTAAAATAAGCAGAGCCTCAGGGACCTGTGGAACATACCAGAATGCCTAGCATATGTGTAATTGGAGAACGAGAAGGAGAGACTAGAGAGAATAAGGTAGAAAATATATTTTAAAAAAGAATGTTCAAAAACTTTCCAAATTTGAGGAATGATACAAATTCAAAAACTTCAACAAGCCCCAGACAGGATAAATGTGAAGAAAACCCTGCATAGGCACATCATAGTTAAACTGTCAAAGAGCAACAGTAAAGAGATCTTGAAAGCTGCCAGGTAAAAACCAAACATTACATACACAGAGACAACAATCAAATGAGTACGGACTGTTCATCAGAAATCCTGGCAACCAGAAGAGAAAACTATAAAGTGCTGAAAGGAACAAAAGCTGCCAACCTTGAGTTTTTTATGTGGTGAAAATATCTTTCAAGAAGGAAGGTAAGACAGCGTTTTCAGATAAAAGGAAACTAAGAATTTATTGCCAAGAGGACTTTACTATAAGAAATGTTAAAGGAAGCTTTTCAGACTGAAGGGAAATAATAGCAGAGGGAAACTTGAATATTTAGAATTATTGA